ATGGAGGAGGGGTTTTGAGGTGATGCCTAAATTGAGTGGAGTTTAAAATCTCTGGTCTTGTCTGATGTACCTTAAGATAACAGTAATAATAAAACACACAGGGTAGATTGAATCAAGTGGTAATTATGGACTTCATTTCAAACAACTAAAAATACCTAAGAGATTATTACAGCTTCCTTTAGGGAAGTATTTTGAAAGTTGTTAAGCTCTTATTCATGTCTGACCAGGAATCCTTATCAGTGAATTTACTATAGGATGGATATAAATTCATAAAGAAGGAAACATAACCCCAGTTAACTTCAGAGATTTCTCTTTTCCCTTCAAGGCAAAAAAAAAATCAAATAAAAATATTTTATAATTAACAATAGCAATATTTCCTAAAAATTTCTCAGAAATGCATGCTAATTATAGAAATATGGTATAAATAGTTGGAATTTAATTCATTCCCAAGAAATAAAATTAATGATTGAGAGTAATAGTATAAATTGTGGAACTTTTAGAACTGTTCAGATAAATGAAGAATATTTTCATCCTGTTCAGTGGCAAACTTTGGAATATGCTCAATGTTGAATGCAGGTCATTGAGACTGAATGATTTATCTGTTACCTTACTGAAGTGCACTTTTGTTTCTGATTAAAGATTGGGTTTTTTCAGGCATTATCTGTAGCTATTTAACTCAGGTAGTTAGAATATAGTGCTGATAAGGCCAAATGCATGATTTTATTTTAGTCCTTGTACAAACTAATTGGTTTTCCGTTACTCTAATGCTACTACTGGCTGCACCGTTTCCCTTGGCCAGCCATCTCTTCAAAAGCATGTCACAAAAGGAGGTTAAACTGGCAGATGTTGGTTGCTAAATGTAAATCTATCCCACCTTTGGTAAAACAGCTCAAAGCCCCATCTCTTGATGCTGTGTCAATTATGTCATTTCCACTGCTTTCCTTTGCTGTGTTGTTATGAGTATCCTAAAATGCACAACTATGTCCATTGCCTGTTTCGTTTTATATTCTATTAGCTCAGGAAAGATTTTCATTCCATTGAGCACCAGACTGTGGGGTATATTTTTGGAAGCAAGTGTAGGTGTACCAGAGCCAAAAAAGGTTGGGAACAACTGTAGACAAACTGATCTCACTGTTCCTAGAGCTGCCAACTCTAGGCACAGAGCCCTTAAAGTGGACTATAAATGTAGAGTGGGTGGTTAAAAGAAAATCTATTATGTGAAACTGATTTCTGATTTCCCACAGTCAGGTGCATGTGTTTTGTGTGCATGCATATTTTGTGTGGAAAGAAGCAGGTGTGCACAGAGATGATTTATTTAGCTGTGTAAAATCAGAATTGGGGTCTTACTGAAAGAAAAATTCTGAAATGCATAATTAGAATGTTAATACATTGGATTTTTTATAAATGCCTTTAAATGTATCATGATAACATTAATGTTAAAGGAGGTAGGTATTGGATTTTTCGGTGACAAAAAAAAAAAAAAAAAAAACTGAAGCAGAGAGATCTAAATGACCTGGTTCCTATTCCAGTTTCTATCTGTACTTCTATAGAATATGTACATCTCAAAGAGGACTTGCTTGACATAACTGTGAAATCAAATACCAGAAGGATTTCTGGTTTTTAAGTTTCCCTCATTGATAGAGGAAACAATGCAGTTATAAACACCCAAACCTGATCTGTAAAAGCTATTGAGTCAGTTCTCACAAGAGTGCTATGCATTTGACAGCAATGTAAACTGGGCCGCAGGAATAGTGAACAGGGTGTTAGGAAAGGGAGCCCCCAGACGGTATTGTAACAAGGTTTGGACATTAGACATGGAAATGTCAGATTATGTAATGTGTTAACCAGTCACAAGCTACAATGGCACAAGCTAGGACTTGTTAGCTTATTTTTCCTTCCCTAGATCATTATATCCAGCAGAGAGGAAAAGAAAGAAAATGTGTTCTAATAGCAACTTCAGCACTGTCTTAAAGATCAAATACAGGTGTGTTCCAATTTAAGAAAACTCAGGAAATAAAAAGTGCAGGTTGCCAAATTGATAGATACAAGAATATTGGATAGAGTGTTCATTTTATAGAAGGAATCTTCACTATGACAGGATTCACCTACTGAGTTCCTTAAATTAACTTCCCTAGTGAATTCAAGATTTGATTTACTAAGAGTCAGTTATCACATGACTTTACAGAAATGTCTCTATTACAAAGCTTACCTGAGTATTACTATTTGTAAAATATAGATATTTTTAATGCATAGTCTATGCATCAACATAAAGTAAAGAGCAGACTTCAGAGACTTTTGCTTTCCTGGCTTATTTTATTTTATTTTGCAGTACCATATGAGCTGTGTATATTTTCTTGTAGGGCCAAGCACAAAAATGATTGGAAATGTTGTCCAGAGAGGAGAGACACAAGGGCACTAAGGGAGGATTAGAATTAGGTGGATAAAAGATATAAAAAGAGAAAGAACACTGAAAATTTGGCCATTTCCAATTTCTGGGAAAACCAGCTTGCTTTTCATCTCTGGTATACCTCTCACCTCTATCAGTTGAATTTTTTCCCCTGATGATCTCCTCTAACCATTCCTGCTTTTAAACATAGAAATTACACATAATGGTACAAATAGCATCATTTAATGAAGCAACAATAGAAGTACCAATACTGCATTCCTGGAACAGCTTAAGAGTTTGATCAGCTAGTACTGGAAATCAGGGGAAAATGCACCTTGTTTGGAAGTAAGAATGCAATTTATTAAGCACAACCCTGGATCTTTATGATCTACAGGCTTGAGTGGGGGTGCTCTTAGAAAAACAGGTTACAGCCAGAAAAATGGCCCTGTCTTGATCTGCCAATAACCATGGAAATTTACAGAAGTTCCAACAACTGCAGCTCTGTAGAAAATGGTGGAAAGAATTATTAAAAAAAAATTCAGAGCTTCTAGCTAATTGCAGTTAAACACCCAAAATATATGAGCTGAATAAATTTCTAAAGACCATCTTCCCACATCAGAAAAATCATCAGCTGTTTTGTTCATCCTTTCATGTAATAATCAGCATATATCAAGTTCCAGGACTACCATCTCTAATTCTATAAGGACAGAATATACATTTCAAGAATCATAACTTTTTCCATTTATTTAGATCACCTTTAATTTCTCTTAACAATGTTTCATAATTTTCAATATGTAAGTCTTGTACTCCTTCTAAATTTATTCTTATGTATTTATTCTTTTTGATAAGTAAGATTTCCTCTACCTCATTATTTGATCAATTGCTACTATATAGAAATGCAATTGATTTTCTTTTTCTTACCTAATTGCCCTGGCTAGATCCTCCAGTACAATGTTGAAGAGAAGTGGTGAGGGTGGGTGGGTATCCTTGTCTGTTGCTGATGTTGTAAGGAATGCATTCAGTCTTTCACCATTTACTATAATGCTAGCTGTGAATTTCTGTAGGTATCTCTTATCTGGTTGAGGAAGTGCCCTACTTCCAATGAATATTTGTATCACAGAAAAGGATTAGATTTTGTCAAATGCTTTTTCTGAAGCTATTGAAAAGATGATGTGATTTTAGTTTTTTATCCTATTAATAGGTTATATTACATTGATTTGCAAGGAATGCAAACTTGCATTCCTGGGATAAATTCCAGTCAGTCATGGTGTATAATCCTCTCAATGTCCTTGCTCTATTTGGTTTGCTAGTATTTGGTTAAGGACTTTTATGTCTGTATTCATAAGGGACATTGGTCTGTGGTTTTCTTTTCATTTGATGTCTTTGATTATGGTGTCAGGGTAATAATACTGACCTCATAAAATGAGTTGAGAAGTGTTCCCTCCGCTTCTGTTTTCTGGAAGACATTGTAGATAACTGGTATTATTTCTTTCATGTATGTTTAGTAGAATTAGTGAAACCATCTGGGTCTGGGCTTTCTTGCAAAAATTGACAAGATGATTCTTGCATTCTTATGGAAATGCAGGGGAACCAGAATAGCCAAAATAATCCTGAAAAACAACAAAGTTGAAGAACTCACACTTCCCTATTTCAAAACTTACTGAAAAACTACAGTAATGAAAACAGTCAGTTGCTGGCATAAGGATATAGATCAATGGAATGGAGTTGAGAGTTGACAAATAAGCCTATACAAGGGCTGGGGATATAACTCAAGAGATGAGCATAGCTTTGCATGTCTGAGGCTCCGAGTTCTACCCCTGGTACCAGAGGAAGAAAAGAGAAATAAACCTATAACATTTATTATTAACATGGTCAATTGATTTTTGTCAAGGTACCAAGACCACTGAATGAGGAACGAATAGTCTTTTCAACAAATGGTGTTAGAATAACTGGATATCCACATACAAAAGAATGAAGTTTGGACCCTTAATTCACATGATACACAAAAATTAACTCAAAAACCTAAATTTAAGAGTAAAAGCTGTAAGATGCTTTGAGGATAACGTAGAAGTAAATCTTTATGACCTTGGGTTCAACACTGGTTTCTTATACATAACTCCAAAAGCATAAGTAACAAAAGAAAAAATAAATTGGATTCTATCAAAATTAAAAACTTTTGTGCCAAAAACTGAGTGTGATGGTGCATACCTGTAATCCCAGCAACTCAGGAGTCTTAGGCAGGAGGCCAACCTGGGCAATTTAGCAAGACACCATCTCAAAAAGAAAAAAATAGTAAAATGGACTTGGAGTGTAGCTCAGGAGTCAAGCACCCCTGAGTTTAATCACCACTACCAAAAACAGAAAGAAAGAAGAAAAAAAACACCTTTTGTGCTACAAAAGGTGATTGTGATTCAAGCACATAGAAAGAAAACCCACAGGGTGGGGTGGGGTAGGAGAAAATATTTGCAAATGCTATCCTTGTAACTACAGAAAGCTCACATTCCCAGTTAAATATTCTCAACTGTCCAGATAGTGGTGACATTTTCAGCTTGACATGATGACATGATCACAACCTCGATACAGCACAAATATATGTGCCATTTCATGTAATTCCTTATAGACTCAGCTTGATTCTCCTATAATGTCTCCTCTTGAAGTTGTACCTTATTTTATTACCAGAATTCATGTGAGTCAGCTGAGTAATGGGGCAATTTTGCTTTTGTTTCTTGGCCAGGAATGCCTTGATCCTGAAAGTCTTGTGAGAATGTGAGGAACTGAATCAAGTGCATGCACCCCAGTGGCTGAAAAAAGGCAAAGAGCTCCTATATCTGATAAAGATATTGTATCTATACTATATAAAACTCTTACAACCTAACAACAAAAAGAACACTAACCCAAATAAAAAAATGCAAAGGATTTGCATAGACATTTCTTAAAAGAAGATTTACAGATGGCTAGTGAGGACATAGAAGATGTCTGGCATTATTAGTCATTAGGGAAATGCAAATCAAAACCACAGGAGGTACCACTTCACACCCACTAGAATAGTTATAATAAAAATATGGGCACTAGTGAGTATTCAAGAGGATATTAACAAGGTTGGGATTGTGGCTCAGTAGGTAGAGTGCTTGCTTATCATGCACTAAGGCCCTGTGTTCATTCCCCAGAACCAGGAAAAAAAAAGGATATGGACAAATAGGGACTCTCACATATTGCTAGTGGGACTCTAAAATGGTCTAGAAATAATTTGGTAGTAATGCAAAAGTTAAACATAGGCTTACCATACAACCTAGAACAACTTGTACTCCTAGGGTGTGTGTGGGTATGTGTGTGTGTGTGCGTGTGTGTGTGTTTCCAAGAGAACTAAAAATATGTGTCCACATAAAAGTTTGCATGCCAGTATTTACTACAACATTATTCACTGCAGCCAAAAGGTGGAAACAACTCATATATCCATGAACTGATGAGTGGATAAGCAAAGTGTGGTATATTCATAAAATGGGCTATTGTTTAAAAACAAAACAGCAATGAAGTACCGATGCATGCTACACCATGGGTGAGCCTCCAAAACATTATGCTAAATTGAAGAAGCTAGTCACAAAAGACCAAACATTATATATTCTATTTGTATGAAATGCTCAGAAGAAATACATCTATAGAGACAAAATGTAGATTAGTGACTACTAGAGCCCAACGGTGGAGGGCATGGGGAGAATTGGAAGCAGTGACTACTGTTGAGTAGAGTTTCTTTTGGGGATGATTAATAAATGTGTTCTAAAATTGACTGTAGTGATGGATAAATAGTAAAGCTGTTTTTTTTTCTATTTTAAAAAGAATCAAAGCTATCGGATTTTATAGTGGACTCGTCATGCATTTTAGTGACCAGAAAAGAATTTTTGTATGTGTGAATAATCAACATTCTATTTTTTCTATTCAGTGGAAGAAAAGGATAGGAAGACAGAGGAGTTGGCTCAGGGATCTCTCCAAATTTCACACTTTTGAGAACACTGATTCTGATAATTGTTTTACTTCTTTAAATAGTATAGACTTTATATAGTAATTTCATAATTATAACATCCTCTTTGCAGTGTATATTTTCTATTCAGGGGTTCATTTCACATGAAGTAGAAATCAGATGCATCGGTTATCCTTCACATACAAAACACTTGTCTAGGAAACTCCTGAGCATGACCTTAAAAAATAGGCTTTAAACCCCCTGTCTGGCCTCATCACCAGTCATTCCCTGCTCTAGCTGATTCTTCTTTTCACAACTCTACTGAGCCTTCCCACGTATTTCTAGAATGTCTCACACACCTCTTCTACTGGAAAACTGCTTCTCCTTCAAGGTACAACTTAATTGTCACCTTCACGGTGTTCTTCCTGACCCCCATAGGCAGAATTAATTGCTCTTGCCTCTGTTTTGATAGTGTTTGTTTTGGCCTCTAGCATATCATGTTGTATGTTAGTTTATCATTCTTTGGCCACTAACAGCAGAAACCATGCATTTTTATGCTTCTATATTCACTGATTATTCTAAGTATAAGCCTGGCCCATGGTGTGATACCAATCAATGATTGATTGATTGATAAGGCCAGCTACCTGGTTTTGATGTGGAATAGAAAACACTCTTCTACCCCCCTACAAAACACTCTTCTACACCCCCTACCCAGGTGCTTGATTATTTCCTGAACCCCTCTGGGAATGTCTGGTACTATGGAAGATCCATATACATAGTGGTCCCTGCCCAGAGATAAGACCAATATGTGTGCTATAACTAAAAAAAAAAAAAAAAAAAAAAACATGAAATAGCATATAGTGGAGCACTCAAGAACTTAAAGCAGATTCTAACTGCTATCAGAATTTAGTGACAAGGAAGCTATATATTTCTTCCTACATCTCAGGTGTTAGAGCTGCATGGCATGGCATTTCAAGCAACTGGCAGCTCCCAACATACCCCCCAAGTAGATTTCTAAAGTAGCAATAGGAGGCTAAAAGCACTCAGCATTATGGTGGACAAGCAGTAAATGGCACTGCTGATCCCTAAGGTAGCTTAGTCAAGAGAAAAATGAGACATGGCTCCTTGAAGAATTTTTAGGAATGAACAATGCCATGTTTTTCAAGGCTTTTAGATTCTTTTTCACTTCATAGGAAATCCCTATATCTTTACCTCTGTTATGGAACTTTTAAAATATACTTTTTTAAGAATATTTATTGAATGATGTATTAGTTTCCTATTGCTGCTATAACAAATTTAGTGGCTTTAAACTGTAGGGATAGGGGCTAGTGTTGTGGCTCAGTGGTAGAGCACTTGCCTGGCATGTGTGAGGCACTGGGTTCAATTCTCAGCACCACATAAAATAAATAAATAAAATAAAGGTCCATCAACAACAACAAGAAGAATTAAAAAAAAAAACAACTATAGAGATATACTCTCTTCCAGTTCTGGAGGCCAGTAGTCTGAAGGCTTATGGAACTAAAATCAGTGTGTATGCAGGACCCCATTCTTTCTGTGGAGTTTAAGGGAAAGTCTGGTTCCTTGCTAATGGCCCCTATCTCCTTCTTCAAAGCTGGCAACATAGTTTGTTTTTTCTCTCTCTTGTTTCCATCACATGGCCTCCTTCTCTTCCATGTCAAATCACCCTCTGCTTCCCTCACTAGGACACTTGTGATTACATTTAAGGCCCACCCAGATAATGCAGAATAATGTTCTCATCTCAAGATCCTTAACTTAATCACATATGCATAGTTCCTTTTGCCATAAAGTAATATTTATATATTCCAGGTGTCATGGGAGAAGAGGGGTCTCTGAAGAAGGATCTCAGTCTCAGTTGTTAAACACCTCGAAGATCAGTTCTACCAGTCCATTTTAGTGAATAGCTCAGTAGTATAACCTGTCTTGTAGGTGATGACTATTACCTCAAAAATACCATTTAGGTTGTTCTAAAACCTAAACTTCTTTAAAATGTTAACAGGCAGATAGGCTTGGTGGACATACCTGTAATATCAGTGATTTCAGAGGTTGAGACAGGGGATGGCAAGTTCTAGGCCAGCCTGGGCAACTCAGCAAGATCCTCAGCAACTTACTGAGACCCTGTCTCAAAATGAAAAATGAAAAGGACTTGGGATATAGCTTGGTGGTAGTGAGCCCCTGGGTTTAATTCCCCAGTACCAAATAAATAAATAAAATATTAAGAGGCAACAGTTACAGAGTTTTATAAGAAAAACAAAATGATTAGGAACAAATCTGTTTTATATAATAGTTTTGAAAATATTAGATGATATAAATAAATTCACATTTAAATTTGTCTTATTTTCAGGTTATTATTAGTATTATTAGCTATTAATGCCCAATCTTTTAATCATCAGAGCAGCATGGTTTGGAAAGTCAAGTGCTTGAACATATTTATTTTTACATAAAGATTATGATGATAATAATACAAATATTAGGAACACAAATATTAACCTGAAAAAAGCTATTATTAATAATAATTTATTTGCCATACCAGAAATTGAACCTAAGACCTTACACATGCTAGGCAAGTACTCTATCACTGAGCTAATCCCTAGCCCATAAGCTTTTACATTTTAGAAGGCACAAATATACTTAATACACAGAAGTCAGTATTAATTATCATTACTGTTACATAGAAGTCCTTAATATATTAGCTTGACTTTTTCTTTTAAAGAAAAATTCAGAATCCATGACTTGGTAAGATCATATTACAGATCTATGCAGGTTAACTTCATTAACAAAAATGAAAGGATAGATTTAGAGTTCTTGCAAGTATTACCTAATATACAAGTGTATTATATATAATAATAAATGTCTATTTAATCAAAGCAAATGGATATAGGTCAAATACAAATATTGGAAAATGACAAAAATTTCATTGACTGTTTTATATATTTCAGGTCCAGATACAATGTATATTGTATAGATGATGGCATTCATTGGTTACCTTGCCTATGTTAAACCTACATAGCTTTGATTTTATAAACTTTTATATAAATTTTAGACAAGGCTTAGATAAACTTTTTATCCCTCAGAGGTATAAATATCTCTAGTCACATATTTAGGATATCAAATACACTATAATAACCTAAAATAACAGTTATTTAACCAGAGTTATGAAGCTGGTATTTAAAAGAATTTAAAACAGATAGTTACTAACAAACCCAAAATCTTTTAAGTATTAGTTTCCTAAGTAATAAAAACATAATAGAAACAAAAAATTATCTTGATAAAACACAAAATCACAGTTCTTTAAGCCAGTTCTTTGTGTATACAGTGCATCTCATTTATATAATAGTTAAACATTTATTTAGCCAAAGCAAACAAATGTGAGGTTTTAAATGGTAAGGAAATTTTCTTTTTATCTGAATGGTACTAAATAAAAAGACAGGAAGTTTCACCAACCATTTTGGGTTTTTTAAATATTATTTTAGTTGTCAATGGATATTTATTTATTTATTTATGGTGCTGAGAATTGAACCCAGTGCCTCACACATGCCAGGCAAGTGCTCTACCACTGAGCCACAACCCCAGCCCCCCATTTTATGTTTTAAGGTTCAGTTAATGTATAAAAGAGAGCAATTATTGGTGATCTTGTATTAATTTTAACACACTTTTGTATAACATTTAGACAAAGCTCAGATGCATAATATATTTAGCCCCCAGAAGCATTGGGTGTGTTCTCAGATGTTTAGTTGTTAAATACACTATAGTAACCAAAATAATAGTTGTGTCATTTAATGAGAGTTATCAAGTAGTCAT